GTAAGTGCCTACTATTTTCTAAGTGTAGGTTGCTGTAGATCACAGACATGGGCAGGTTCAATTTGGCTCAGCTTTGATATGTCGCTATGGGTCTTACCTTCGGAGATGTGTTTGCTGAAGTAGTTAAGTGGCATAGTATAACCCATTATCCAGCTCACAAACTGCAAAGTGCATCTGCCTTGAGATGGTACAAAGCTTTAAGATAAAAACGTTTATTATCTTGAATATTAGTGTATTGTTTGAGAAGATTACACAGTATGGGAGAAAACATGATTAGCATTGTTGAATTTCGTTTAATGGCTTCTGAAAATTTTCAGAGTTCGGGGAATGCATTGCCTTTATTTCCAGCTCACTAACTATAGGCTGTTGGAGATATTTATGACCAAATGCTTAAGGTGGTTGTATGTCCTCCCTGTCTCAGTTATTTTAGAGGAATATTACAGCCAGTGTTAAGATAGTGGCCAGAAGTATGTCACATGAACCTAGTAGGTACAGGTTCACTAAAACTGCTTATAGCCTCATAAAATTAGGCAATTCGGCCCATCGAGTCTGCTCCACCATTCAATCAGAGCTTATCAGCCATGATTAAATGGCGGAGCAGACTGAATGGGCCGAATGGCCTAATTTCTGCTCCTATTTCTAATGGTCTTATGGTTAAAATGAAGTGTTGTTATCATAAAATCCAGATTCATGATTTCACGGAGAAACCAAAACATATTTAGGTGATAGATAGATAGATACTAGTTGTCCTACATTACCTCAGAGGGATAGATTGGTCAGGCTTTTCTCATCAAACTGGGTGCTACTTAAGCCATGCATTATGAGCACTGTTTGATGGTCAAAGTATTGACATGCCTAATTATGCAAAACATCAGTTTTGTGGGCAAGTTCCTGGTCTTGAGCACTGGAAATTTAATAGAATGCAACCAGTTAAAGAGAAATTGATACAGATGGTAATAAACTGGCCTTTCCAAAGGCTACTTTAATGAAGTATATGAAGTAGTGGGTGGCACGCTGGTGCAGTGGTTAGCACTGCTGCCTCACAGTACCAGGGACCTGGGTTCAATTCCACTCTTGAGCGACTGTCTGTGTAGAGTTTGTACACGCTCCCCCTGTCTGTGTAGGTTTACACGGGGTGCTCTGGTTTCCTCCCACAGTCCAAAGGTGTGCAGGTTAGGTGATTGGCTGTGCTAAATTGCCCATAATGACCAGGGACATGTAGGTTAGGTGGTTTAGCCCTGGCAAATGCAAAGTTAAAGGGATAAGATAGAAGGATTGGTCTGGGTGGGATGCTGTTCAGGGGATCAGTGTGGATTCAATGAGCTGAATGGCCTGCTTCCACACTGTAGGGATTTTATGAATATGTTTCAACTATTGCAAAGGTTGTTTGGTAACAAAAAATGGCTGATATAACATATGGGGAAACAGAAAGCTGACTGAGTGTTCAGTTTAGTGGTAGGACAGTGCTGGATTGAACCCTGTGTTTGATGTAGCTGGTGCAATATGAGATGTTAGTGAGGTACAGGTCTCTAATTACCACTGCAAGGCCTACCTGGCACAGTTAGCATGCCTGGAAGAAAGTGGAGGAAGAGAATCTGAAAGGTGCAACTGAACCTTACATCCCTAGCAAATCTGGCCTGTTGGTGCATGACATACTGTGTATTGTGGCTTGCTTTGAATGTGTTTCCATAAAATACATTCATTAATATTCCTGTCCTCCGTCTTTATACAGATGGGGCATGACTGTGTAAATGAGTGCAAATGTTAGGAAAGCACACAAATGTTTAAGAGATGCCACAGGGGTCAGTGCTGGGACCTTTGTTATTTGTTATTTACATGAACGATCTGGACGTGAATGTACAAGGCATGGTTAGTAAGTTTGCGGATGATACAAAATTAGGAAGTATCGTTGATAGCAAAGATTATCAAAAATTGCAAAGGGATCTTGATCAGATGGGGAAGTGGGCTGAGGATTGGCAAATGCAATTCAATGCAGATCAGTGTATGGTGTTGCACTTTGGAAAGTCAAACCAAGGTAGGACTTGTACAGTAAACGGTCCTGAGGAGTGTTGTGGAACAGAGGGACCTAGGAGTACAAGTACATAGTTCGTTGAAAGCGGTGTCACAGGTGGACAGGGTGGTGAAGAAGGCATTTAGCATGCTGACCTTCATTGGTCAAAGCATTGAGTGTAGGAGTTGGGACATCATGTTACAGTTGTACAAGTCATTGGTGAGGCCACACTTGGAGTATTGTGTGCAGTTTTGGTCACTCTGTTTATAGGAAAGACATTGTTAATCTGGAAAGTGTGCAAAGAAGATCTACAAGGATGTTGCCAGGACTAGTAGGCCTGAGTTATAGGGAGAGTGTGGCCAGGATAGGATTTTATTCCTTGGAATGTAGGAGAATGAGGGGTGACCTTATTGAGGTGTATCAAATCATGAGGGGCATAGATGGGATGAATACATATTGTCTTTTTCCCAGGGATGGGGTTCTGAAAACTAGAGGGCATAGATTTAAGGTGAGAGGGGATAGATTTAAGAAGGACCTGAGGGGCAACTCCTTCACACAGAAAGTGGTGTGTATATGAAATGGGCTGCCAGAGAAAGTGGTTGAGGCAGGTACAGTAGCAACATTTTTTTTTTAAAAAATTGGATAGGTATATGCATGGGAAGGGTTTACAGGGTTATGGGCAAATGCGGGCAATTGGAACTGGATGAGTGGGCACCGTGGTCAGCATGGATCAGTTTGGGCTGAAGGGCCTGTTTCCATGCTGTATTACTCTATGACTCTGTCTTCGGGCCAAATTTTGATTTAGACTTTCTTGGAATTTGGGAGGTGCTGCCTGGAACATGGGCTGGGGCATCAAGTTGGCAGTAAGCTGATGCAATGGATTACAAACATAGAAACCTAGAAATTAGGAGAAGGAGTAGGTCATTCTGCCCTTCCAGCCTGTTCCACCATTCAGAATGATTAAAGCTGATCATCCAACCAATCCTGTTCCTGCTTTCTCCCCATACTCTTTGATTCCTTTATGCCTAAGAACTATGTCTAACTCCTTTTTGAAAACATGTAACGTTTTGCCCTCAACCGATTTCTAAGGCAGAGAATTCCACAGGCCCACCACTCTCTGGGTAAAGAAACTTCTTCTCATCTCAGTCGTAAATGGTCAAAACCTTAGACCATGACCCCAGTTCCTTGTCACCAGGGAACATCCTTTCTGCATTTACTCTATTGAGTCCTGCTGGAAGTTTATACATCTCTGAGATCCCCTTTATTTCTATAAAGTCCAGGGAATACAGTCCTAACTGATCCAGTCTCTCTTCATACGTCAGTCTTGCAATCCCAGGAGTTGGTCTGATAAACCATTTTTCCAACACTCATACCTGATTCATGCCTTATGTTGGTTTTGAATTATTTGCAAGTAATTACTTGGAAAATCTGCTTGGTTCTGTTTGCTGTCAATTATAAATGCCTCTGCATTAAATTTAAGGTACCTTGAAGCGTATTTATTTGAAATTGTTTTTTAGTGCATCAGATTGTCGTTTTTGTCCTTCCTTTAATTACCAATACTGTTCTCCTGTTAAATTCTTGTTTGAGTCTAGATAGTGAGTTTATTAGCAGCTTGTTATCAGCATTTAGTCTTCAAACATTATTTTTCCAGTAAGATTTGCTGAACAGCAATAAAGGTTCTGAAACCTTTTTGTTTTCTCACTGCTAGCCCGGGGGATACCACAACCTGTTGTAATACTTCCCCTGCTCCTATAAAACAGGTCAGAGTCCCAGATTCCATTTCTATGTCACTGTAGATTTCACCCAGTGAATGGATAAGGCACCCACCTGATTGCAGCATCCACAGGTCAGGGACTGGAAAAATCAACTACAATTCTCACCACTGAATCCAGTGATTCCTGCTGGGAAGTGTGCACTAGTGGTTGGGTTAAGGACCCTTGTTAAACTTGGCTGTGATCTTGATTTGAGTAATCCTCCCCAAGTGTCAGAGACTTGCACATGAAGTCTAGCCATTTATTGAAGTGTCACTGGCTTTGGAAGTGACAGTGTTGTCAAGGTCTTCCAGAGATGAGGGGAAGAAAGTGTAGAAAAATTGCAAAGCAAAGTAATGGTCAGTGTGCAACCTCCCACTGGCCAGGTTTTAACAAACTATATGTAAATGCCCAAAACAATGCATTAATGACACCTAAAAGACTCCAAAAGTACTCCATTATCTGGAAAATGCCATGAGATGTCTCATGGTTATGAGAAACACCATACGTGTAATTGTCATTGAATTGTGACAGTACAGAAAAAGGCTTTCCTAAGGAATAGTTCACAAATTGACCAACCTCCACCTTCTCCCCATGTCCCTATTAATTCTGCCTTTTTAGATACCTGTAAGGTGCCCACCTTTTCTGTTCTGGCCAAACGATGAACCTCCTAACCTAATTCCATTTTCCAGCACTTGGTCAATATCTTGGGAGATTACGGGTCTTCAAATGCATAAGCAGACGTTTTTCAGATGAGTTAAGAGTTTCTGCCTCTACTACCCTTTCGTGCAATGAGTTCCACAGCCCAAACACCCTCTGGGTGAAAAACAGTTTCCTCATCTCCCCTCTGATCCTTCTGCCAATCACTTTAATTCTCTGCCTCCTAGCCACTGACCCCTTTGCAAAAGTGTAATCGATCCTTTCTAACCACATCTCTGAGCTCTTCATCATCCTTGTGCAGCCAATCAAATTTCCCTTCAGCTTCCCCCCTCCCAAGGGGAACAGCCCTGCCTTTCCCCACAGCTGCAATTTTCCAGTGCTGACAGCATCCTTGTAAAACTTCTCTGTAACCTCAGTAGTGCAGAGAAGCTTTGAAGATGCAGTGAGGTAAAAAGAGAACTCTTTCTCTTCCTGCTGCAGTCTTTGCACAGGATGGTGCCAAATTGAATTAAATGGCAGATTCAGGAAATAATGTGCAGCAGTTCTTTGGTCATCTGTCTTCCTGTTTGTTCCACTAGATACTATTTCCCGCAAAAATTTTCAAGATGCAGCACAAATGAATACAGACAGTTTCTGCAGGCTGGAGGTGGCACCTGTCTTTTCAATAAACCTCACAAGGTAAGATCTTAGATAAAGTGTCAATATACCTTTGAGTGACCGTATGGGATATAACTCAAGTAGGTTGGAGATTATTTTGTATTTGTAAATCTCATCAGTGATAAAGAAAGAAGAGCATTTTAGTCTTTGTTTCTCAGAATTACTTCAGTCAACTATTGTTCAGTTATATCAGATGGGATTCAGTTTAGCATTTCCTTTGTTTATCCATGTGTATGATGCCACCTTAAGTGCCACAGTTTTTACTTACATAATGGCAGTCCAAATGTAATCCATTAATCACAAGCACTTTGCTATCCTCTGGGGTTATGATAATATGTTATAGAAAAATAAATTATTTCTTTCCTTCTTTTAGATTAGCCTTAATGTCCATTGATTGCCTCAGCCATTGGAGGTTTTCATCTGTTTAAGGTGGTTGTTGGTCAACAATAGATCTCTGTACCTAATGGATAGACTTCAATGAAACTTGATACATGTTGTTTTTGTAAGATGTGAGCATTCTGTTGCATTGCTCTCTCTTGTTGGGGAGATGTAAATAAGTTAGTTCACTAATGGCTCCCTGTAGCAGAAAGAAGTCTGCAGAATGTGAAGAGGTCTTTGCAGAGGTATTTGATCAGTGACAAGCAAGGCAGTAATTCCTGACACAGGCTTTACAATTTTGTTTTCGCTTACAGAATAGTTTCACAGCCTGCAACAGGCTGCTCACCTCATGAGTTGGTGCTCAGCCATGAACTAAGACAGTGTTTAGTTTGCTTAAGTCTGACATCAACAGCAAAGGAAGAGAACGGCCAGGGAAAATGAAGATGAGTCATGGTACAAGAGGCAGAAAACTTATTGACTTCAGTGTTGGTCAGAAGGTCAAAGTGCCACTGCAGTAAGAATGGTCGAGCCTGCTCCACCATTCTTCATGATCATGGTTGATTGTCCAACTCAATAGCCTAATCCCGCTTTCTCTCCACAATCTTTGATCCCATTTGCTCCAAGTGCTATATCTAGGTGCCTCTTGAATACATTCAATGTTTTGGCATCAACTACTTCCTGTGGTAATGAATTCCACAGGCTCACCACTCTTTGGGTGAAGAAATGTCTCCCCATCACCATCCTAAATGGTCTACCCCGAATCCTCAGACTGTGACCCCTGGTTCTGGACATACCCACCATCGAGAACATCCTCCCTGCATCTACCCTGTCTAGTCCTGTTAGAATTTTATAATTCTCTTTGAGATCGCCCCCCATTCATCTGAACTCAAACGAACACAATCTTAAACTAGTCCATCCCTCCTCATACGTCAGTCCCACCATTCCCAGAATCAGCCTGGTAAACCTTCGGTGCACACTCTTGAGGGCAAGAGTATCCTTCCTCAGAAAAGGATACCAAAATTGCAGACAATATTCCAGGTGTGGTCTCACCAAGGCCCTGGACAACTGCAACAACACATCCCTGCTCATATACTCAAAGGATTATGTGAGTGTTGTCAGAAAAGTAGGCGAGTTAGACTTGTCAAATTTTGTCAGTCAGAACAATGAGTGGGGTGAATGAAAGGTGGTTGGAATATAGGGTTAAATCAACTTAAATGACATCAGCAATGAGGTTTGATATGAAATTCAGCTTTTGTAATTTTGACAGTCTTCGAATTTATCAGTAATCTTCAAGCCTGTTATGCTCATCAGTTTTTCTAAGGTTTTGATGGGGGTCCAGCTTATCAGAGCAACAAAAGGGGAAGCTTGATGGATGGACTGAAATTCTATTCTGCCACCTCCCCGCCTCCTGTTCATAACAGCCCCAAGCGTTTCTGAATGAACTGCCTACTGCTGTTTGATATGTTTCATTCAGCAGATGAATTTTAGAAGCACATTGACACTGAGCTTTAAAAAATCTTGTGATTTCAAAGTGGATTTATATCATTTATTCTTGAAACTTGTTTAGAATTTTCAGTAGCAGTGGGCTAAGTCTCAAAATGATCTGTTTAACTATTTCCACAGCTAATTGATCCCCAAGAATGTGGAAATGGGTTTGTGGAAACAGGAGAAGAATGTGACTGTGGCTCTGAAACTGTGAGTAAATTTCATTCTCTCCCGGGCACAATGAATGTGATCCTATTTTTATAGTTTACCAAATGGAGTTTGCTGAATTATTGTATGAAATGCGTTTTACCCCAGTTTTTCTTTGCATCAGATATGGAAGCTAGGGAACTTGAGGAAATGTTTTGAGAAAGGTCCCTGTTACAAAAGAGGAGGTGCTGGAGATCTTTAAAATGCATAAAGGTAGATAAATCCTCCAGGACCTGATCAGGTGTATCCGAGGACATTGTGAGAAGCTAGGGAAGAAATTACTGAGCCCCTAGCAAAGATGTTTGTACCATCAACAGCCACAGGTAAGGTGCCAGTAGACTGGAGAGTAGCTAATGTTGAGCTATTATTTAAGAAAGGCTGCAAGGTAAAGCCAAGGAACTACAGACCGGTGAGCCCAGTGTCAGTGGTAGATAAGTTGTTGGAGGCAATACAAGATCTGCATGCATTTGGAAAGGCAAGGACTGATTAGGGATAGTCAGCATTGTTTTGTGTAGACGAGATCGTGTCTCACAAACTTGATTGAGTTTTTTGAAGAGGTGACCAAGAAGATAGATGAAGGCAGAGCAGTAGATCAAAGTTTTTTGAGAAGATTTGTAGCCCGGATTGTGGATGAGGTTGTAGTCTTGTTCGCTGAGACGATGTGTTTGATTACCCTGCTAGGTAACATCTTCAGTGTGCCTCCGGTGAAGGGTTGGTGTTCTGTCCAGTTTGTTATTTATATGCCTCGGTTTGTTAGGGTGGTTGGCATCACTTCCGGTTCTGTTTTTTAGTGGTTTGTACATCGGGTCCAGTTCAGTGTGTTTGTTGACGGAGTTCCAGTTGGAATGCCAGATACTTAATCACACCAGCAACTATGCCAACACCCATAAACTGAGCTGCATCAGGACATTATTCAAATGAGCCATAACACACTGCAGCAACCCGGAACTACACAAAGCAGGACAGGAGCACTTACACGGAGTTTTTAAAAGGAATGGATACCCAAAAAGCACAATCCACCCTTATCTTCACAACAGACCACAGCAAGATGACACAACACGGCCAGACACACTAGTCACCCTCCTGTACGTCAGAGACATATCAGAGATGACCATAAGACTACACAGGCCCCTATGTTATCAGAGCAGACCACAAACCAACAATCGCCCTGCAACAGCTACTGATGAATGTAAAGGATCCCATACCCACAACCAATAAAACCAACATAATATACAAAATACCATGCAAGGACTGTGAGAAACATTACGTAGGCCAAACTGGAAGAACACTGACAATAACAATACACGAGCACCAACTAGCCACCAAGAGACACGACCAATTCTCACTGGTCTCAATACACACGGACAAAGAAGGACACGAATTCGACAGGGACGACACATCCATAATAGCACAAGCCAAACAGACATGCCAGGGAATTTCTGGAGGTCTGGCATTCCAACCGGAACTCCATCAACAAACACATTGAACTGGAACCGATATAAAAACCACTGGAAAACAACCGGAAGTGACGCCAACCACCCCAGCAAACTGAGGCATATGAATAACAAGTGGGACAGAACACTAACGCTTCACTGGAGGCGCACTTTCGATGTTACCTAGCAGGGTGCAACCAAACACACTGGCTCGGCGAGAAAGTCTACAACCTCAGAATGGGAAGTGTTATCTATATTTGACAAGGTTCGGCATGGTACACCGGTTAGTAAGGTTAGATCACGTGGGAACAAGGAATGCTAGCCAACTGGGTACAAAGAAATAATA